TTTATGCTTGGGAAAAACTTATAGACATGAGAATCAATACTCATATTTGCATTTACGTTTGATGATGATATTTACTGCCATTAGTAGATATATCTCTTTGCTATCGATTTATAAATAATGTAATTAATTTTTAATAAATAATATAATCGGTATAATTTAATTTATTCAGTATATTGTAATTTAAATTAATTTTATATATTTGAAGCTTTCGAATTTGAAATATTTTTCCTCAATTTCTCGATATTTTAAATTTTTATCTAAATCTCCATTCCTCAGTTTTGCCCATCGATTTCCTTAGTTTTGAAAGGATATATCGGGGACATGAACATGTCGTAATGAGCGACCTCAAATTTCACGAACGAGCGAGTTCGTTTCCCATCGAAGGGTGCAGATTGTGCGCTAAATTGCGCGTGAAATGTGAATACGCGCAGCTTGCTATCCCTCTTGTTATCCCGGAAAAAAAATAATCTCCGCCGAATTATGTTGTCGTTTCTTCGAAGACGAAAATAACGCGAAAAAAAAATATATATATATCATGTCACATTTTTAATCGATATATAAAATCAACGATCGATTTCGAGGGAACTCCCGCTATATTCAAAGATCCAATTTCTAAAGTCACTGAGTCGGATTAATGTCCAGAATTACTTAAAGCCGAAAAAAGAACCAGACAATAAAAAGTCACAGCGGCAATTAAAAAGTCTCTCGGGAGAGATTAGCTAATAAAGTACCCTTCTCCCACGGGGAACTTTGCGAGAAGTTCGCAACGGCTAATTGCGTTTCTCTTCAAATCTTCCACTCTCTCTCCTCATAATCGCTACAATGAACATATCGGTTTACGCGAATTTCGGGAAATTTCTCACGGGAATTCGACGCGAATTTTTATTCCGCATCCTCTTCGGGACTCCATCGGCTGGAAATTAACGGCGAGAAAGAAGGGAGGGAAAAAGGCGCGGTCTCTAATTTAAGGACCCTCCCTAATCTTTTCCGCAATTAAAATGCTACGTCACGTTTGTGAGAAAATTACGCGTAAAAGAATTCTCGTTAGAGTCCCTTCTTTTTTACCATTTCTTTGTCATCTCGTTATTCCCGACTGGCGTTCTAGTCTGCGCGCCCTTTTAACCTCTCACTCTTTACGCCGACTCTTAGAAAATTCAACAAAAGAACCTGGGTACTTAGTACTTGAGTAAAACAGGTCAAATGTCGTCGCGTAAGAGTGATGACGTATGAGATATAATCGTTCTAAAATTGCTCACGCATTGTAATTGACGACGCTGTGTGGATATGTAAAGGTCTTACACATGCTTTTCTCTTTGTTAAAATTCGATCGCAAGTGTACGCGAATAAAATGCAAATTGCTCGTGGAAGAAAAGCTCATTATCACGCGTAATTAACTGCTTTTGGATTGTTTCGGTTGCCATTTGCGAAAGTACTTGAGTTTCCGTGCGTCTCGCTATCTTACATCTATATAACTTACATAATTGTTATCTTAAATCTATTATTTTTTCCGTTGGTTATACCAGAAATTGTGAGTAATTTTATTTGAGGAGAAAGTAAGCGCTACGCGTGTGCCGGTCGAAAAAACAAATGAAAAGAGAGATTGAAAACATATTGTTAAATAAAAAAAAATATATATATATATATATACAGATCATAAAAATCATAAAAAATAAAACTAAAATAAACTCGCCGGTGACGAAGTATTCATGCAGCAGTTGTGTGTTTGTAATTATATTACATATATATTTGTTATTTCACAAATTTAAAAATATTTCTTTGTGATATAAAAACATAATTTTCGTACAAATTCTTTTATATAAAAGAAAAATAATAATATTTGCTTTTTGAGAAAATAAATCTGCGAGTTGTTGAGGAAAGCGATTTTTTTTTCACTCTTACTCCGAACGAATACCTCGTCAGAAACACATATGAAAGTATAATCTCCCGACAAAAAGCTGTCGGAAATTTCATTTACGCTAGAAATACGGAACGGGGGTGAGAAAAATAATCGAACAAAGGGGAGAAACATGAAAAAAAAAAAAAAGGAAAAGAAATATAAAAGGACTTAATCTACAAGTGAAAAATCGACCGTGGCACGGTTCTCGTGTATCGCGTGAGAGAGCGGGCAGTGCGAGTTGCATTTCTCATTATATACATATGACTCCGGTCTTTTTTGCTCGCCGGTAAACGATTCCCGCTGGTTTCCTTACCTTTTTTCGGACACTTTGCGAGGTCCTCTTTGAGTGGCCCCCTCAGTGTCCCACATGATCAGCGTATGCCCGTTTGTTTATCTCTCTCGCTCTTTCTCCCGACTGACCGACCGATCGATCGATCATCTGTTCATTTTTCTCTCTAGCGCTCGCTCTCTCAGATTTTTCAATCAACTATTCTCAGTACGAGTCTCTTTCGCTTGCTCTTTTCTATTTCTTTACTCGCTCTCTTTCTCTCGCGCAGAAGCTCTCTATAGGACAACAGGAGATCTGCGTGAGACACGACCGTATTTTGCGATTGTCCGTTATTTTGCTTTGTTTCGCATTTTCTTGGTTACTTTGTTTCTCGCAGTAGCCGAATCAGCCGCACAACGGGCCGGATTGTCCGATTAGCGGATTTTCCAGCTCCTTTGTATGCAATTCGTTTACTTGTCGTTCGACGATCGCATTGTTTCGAGCGCGTCCACCCCTTCAACTTCGTTCACTTTGCGCATCCGAGGTACCGCCAACGTGGATCTTTTTTCCGTTTCTCGTTTAACAAGGCCATTCTCAGACGTAGGATAACAATAATGCAAACGAGACTTTAAAACGTTCGACACACTTGAATGTGACGTCGAGAATCCACGTTGGCAAGCAATCCCGATGCGTCTCTTTCTATTCGCTTTGGGCATTATTCGAGGATTCTCGAGGCGAGGAAATTGGCAACGTTATTTTCCAAATCTGTCACGAGAAATTTTGTTTACCGATTTAAGGGAGAATGCGTTTAGAATAATCCGTTTGAAATTCTCGCTTCGAAAATTCGTACAATCTTACAAAATCGTATATTGAAAAAGATTGAATTTCCGAGAGCTTTAATTGAACTATTAAAGCCGCCGTAAAAAGAAGCCCCTGATCAAACAGAAACGTCACCGTCGGACCGGAAAAAATCCGAAGAAGTAATCACTGACCGTGATTTAAGAATATAATCCTATTACGTCCGAAAAGCTATATAATGACGACAGAGAGAAGACGCGCCGGATCTTCGGAAGCAATTTCCCTCGCGTCGTTCTTTCGACAATCCTTTCAAAGCACGAAGAAAAGAGAGAAATCGACGACGACAAATCTCTTCATTAGCTCCACCGAGATATTAAATTTTAATTGAAATAGATATAGAGACGTTTGAAAAAGCCCCGACTCGCGCATTTACGTAATATCGAATGGTATTCAAAAGCGGGATTGTCAGTTAAATGAAACTAAAGCGATGGCGACGCGCACGAGACCGACAAGCAGCTTCGGCGGCCACGAGAAGATAACTAATCGAGTTGTTCAATTAGGCTAAACCGTTGTTGTTTGGTATCAGCATCGACGCAGCAGATGCTGCGGTTATCGCGGTGGTAGCTGAGAGCTATGAAAGCCATATGTATGATCAAAGCTGAGAGCCTGTCTGTACCGCAGACGAAAATGTCAAGATTTTTGAGTGCAGCAAGAATCGAATTATTACACGTTATGCAGATAGTGATTTTTAATCCCAATCTAAATAATCACGAGACAAGATAAATAAATTACTTGATTAATTTATCCGATTAAATTTATCAATTATTTCATTATTAATATTATGTTACTATTACTTTGCCGTATTTGATCGCCTCGTTTATCCTCCGATCGATCCGACAGAGCTTTGTCAAATTCATACGTAATTATTGAACGAAATGAAGTTAGTTGGACGATTACGCGAAGGTAATTCCGAGCTCGAACTATTCTAATAAAATAATCGTTTGTTACAAATTTTTATATAAACGCGCACGTTTCAAGATTCTATTAGGATATTATAGAACAAAAAAGCGTACAAAGTGACTCGCAGGTGGATCGTTCGCTGGGAAGGACTTTCTCCTGTAGCGATTTTCACCGATCAAGTGGCCGGTCAATCGAAAAGAGAATTTGATGATCATTCGAGGCCCTCGAGCGGAGATCGAGCCTCGCAATCGATGGCTCGCCACTCGTTGATCCAATCGAGTGGCCATCAATCAGCTTGATCCAGGCCACGAGAGAAATCTCTTACTCTTGACTCCCCTCCTCTCCACCTCTTCGCAATTCGATTCTCTATTCTAGAGCCCACGAAATTACCTCGCGTTTGGTTAATTACCGCGATCCAGCCGTCTCCCTCTCTTTCCCGGATAAAAAGCTCCGTCGAATCGCGAGAGACGGACTGTCGATATCTCGAATCCGTAGCCGTTTCGCGCAAAACGTGATCTACGATTACGTTACGATTTACTCCAGTCCGATATCTCGATCGCATCCCGCGATTTAACTCTAGTTTCTTACTCTAATTTATTACTTCTATTACCTTCGAGTCAGCCGCGCATCCATCTTCTCTTTTTACATCAAATATGCAAATAGCGCAATAAATGAGATATCAACGGCGATGAATTAACAACAGCTCCTTGTACATATCATATCACTAATTGTGAGCCAATAAATATTCAAGAAACTTTAGAATCGCGATAGATGGACATTCGTCGGCTCGAAGCTGACTTAAAATTATCGGGCGATCACGATATTTCGTCGAGAAGAAATTCGCGTCTTGAGAATGAATTTATTCGAAATTTATCCGTAAGATCGAACGAGTCGAGAGCTATCGTGGTCGCCGGTTTACGTCACGACGAGGGCGCGCATCTTCCGATGCGCTCACTCGACTTCCCTGAAAGAAAACACATCTATACGAAATGGATTAATGGCGATGTATATATATATGTATGTATATATATATATATATATATATATATATATAAGTATAAGAAAATTCATGCACACCTCAATCTTTCTGCCCTCAACCACGGTGCCGTGTAGCCTCTCACGTGCCCGGTCCGCGTCAGCACTATTTGCGAATGTTACAAAACCGAATCCCTGCATGCAAGGACAGACAAAACAACATGCATTAAACTCAACTTACAGACTGCCAGCGCTTCGCAAAAAGCCGACTGGCTGGGCCGACATTTCGTCTTTGCGCGCGCGCGCACACATATAATACGCGCGCGCGCTATTATGCGTTATATCACGTATACATATGATATATGTACACGTTATATGGGAAGGTGGGAGTGCACATATGTAGGGAATCTCCGAAGGAGATTGCCGGGGCGCGATATCGGGGGAAGAGAGAAATTATTTCCCACTCTTTCGTTCCACGACGATCTCATTCATTTCGATAAAACGGAAAAGAGAGCGCGTCCCCGTCGATGTTGTTATATTTCGTTGTATTGTATTTTTTTCGAAATGTAAGAATTTGGACAAAGAATGTTAGATTCGCGTGAAATCGTTCAAGATTCAAGAGATATAATTGTAGGAATATTTATTCTCGATTTACTTAGCTTCGAATTATAAAGATGTGCTTCGTGTTTGTGACGTTTAGCTCTTTATACCTTTAATTTTTCGACAGATTTTCGAGAAGAATATCGTATAACTGGGGTTTCGGACGGAGATCGATCTTCCATCGAGAGATGGAAGATGCAGAGAGCTCGATTCTTCCGCCTCGTCGCGGGTGACCGGCTTCTTGTACTTTTCTCTCTCTCTTTCTCTTTCTTTCTTTGAACCCTTCCGTCACCCTCAACCCTTCGACGGCGGTCTTATTTATTTCTTTGATGCACTACATCTCTCTCTTTAGATCAACCGATATATATATATATATATATATATATATATATATATATAATATAAGCCTCGGAAATTAATTAATTCATGTTTCTCAATATATACGTACATATATATATTGAATTAATTTCCGAGGCTTCCTTAAGACGTGAAAAGACAGAGTCAAATTTTGTCCCATTTATTTTGTATTCCTTTTATTTCACTATCACAAAAATAGACATCCATTGCTATAATAGCAACTATTGCTCTTCTATAATTTACGTTTTATTATTTCATACTTTTGGAATAAAATTAAAATTGCATGTTTACTAACGCCCGGAAATAAAAACTGCATCATTAATGTAAAATAATCGAGTTTAGAAACATATAATTATTAAAATACGTTAAATGTCATAAAGAGAGTCTTTAAAATATATATATTTAATCACATAATAGCACATAGAGAAATTTGCTTAATTTAATTTAATTATCCTTAATATTCTGCTTGATGTATTCTGTCAATCTAAGGAATCTGCGAAATAAAAATTCACGCAAAACGTTTGATTTTTTTTTTTTTCGAGCCAAGGGTTTGGAAGGGTTGAGAGTCTTCAGAGTGTCAAAATCGCGGGGATGTATTCGGGGTCGCGTAAAGTTCCTCCTTTATTAAACTATTTCTTTTTCTTTAACAGGATAGGGGATACTTTTTCGAAATGTCGACGACCAGGGGGTCTGCGAGCGCCTCATACTGCTTACGGAGACGCACCAAACAACGTGCAACAAATAAGTAGATATAAAAATCATGGTAAGAAAATCATGGTCATGATCACATTAATCATCTCATTATCATATCATATCGTATCATGTCATACCACGGTCATCGTCATATCATTAAAGACGCTTGCTTGTATCAAGAGGTGCGTGTACGAGGGGGGGGAAAAAAAAAAAGAATTTAATCGGAAGGGGACAAGTTAGACACGCGTGAAGGAAAGTGTGAGGGACAAGGCGAGCAAGGTGTACTGTGTACCGTGTGTCACGTGTGTTCCCGTCTATGCGCTATGAATTTTCATCGTCGTTACGAAAGACGGGGAATTGCGTGGGAGGCATAAAAAGATTAGAATCGAGGGTGTCGTCGAGAAGGAGACTTCGGTTCGACTCTGGAATATACGCGGCGATATCGCGGTGAACTGAATGGTGCACTGAAAAGCGAACTTCCTAGAAAGAGGAAGAAAGAGAAAGAGAGAGAGAGAGAGGAAGAGGGGGAGAGAGAGAGAAAGAGAGGTATTGATGTAGCACGTATCACGCTATCGCGTCGCGGAAGAACATGATTCCTGTCAAGGAAGGGCACGATCGATTGCGCCGCCTGCTCGAGAACAGTCAAGTTTCTCTGAAATGTGGCTACCGTAAGATATCGCCCTACGATAACACCGTCGATTTTGTTCCTTATCGCGCCATAAGTTCTCACTTGTTTTCGCATTCGCATTACTGAATATTATCGAAGGATCCCGATGCTCGTTATTCATGTTTTCGCAAGACTCCTACGATGTAATTCTATGATTAAAGTAAATAGTGGTATATCTAGAACATTTTTACGCGTAACCGATCGTGATCGATTGCGCTGTCGCAGGATATCAATTTCAGCCAGGTATTTCACTATGATAACGCCTTGTCGATATTATCCAGGTGACTCGTATCATCCCTGAAATATGACTTACTGTCCCTTGAACACGACTTTATCGAAAGCATGCTTGAATAACGGCATTACGTATATTAAAAGAAAATACTATCAATCATACTGTCATCGTTCTACACGTAAGGCATGAATTTTATTCATGAAGAGTTCAAGAATCAGAAGAATTAAATCACAGGCTAATTCTCCTAAACGAAGAAATTATTACCTAATCTGGATAATACTGTGTTCTAAATTCGCGTAAATTCCGTAATATACGAGCTTTATGTCGTAAGTGCGAGATCGAAATCGCGAGTGCTTTTACCGTTAAAAGGATTTAATCGAAGTTGGGGCGAAATCGAATTAACGGAATGGCAGCTTCTTCGTTAGCGGGGGAAAAAGAACGGCGGGATAATCGAGTTTCTTCCCTGTCCTTCGCTCGCGCCATCCGTTTCCATTCTCTTCGAGCGATGAAGCTGTTGTTAGAAGCGGTTACGGCTGTTGCCGCGGAAGATCGCATTAAAGCCAAATCAAGTACGGCGTCTGCCCGGCCGACGACGGTCAAGTTTTCTAATCAGCGACGAGAAACGACGAGGAGGACCTCTTGGCTCCTCGGAATACCGCGGAAAATGCGATTTATGAGTCGAACGTGAGAGAACTGAAGCTACGTGCGAGCACGAGAAAGTCCTGTCCGCGGCTATTTTTAGACCGCCGAGTCAACCTCCAGCGTTCTTTAATAATCCGCAATCGAGCCTTCCATGATAACCCAATAATTCTCTTAAACGATAGCCGGCACTCGTTATTAAATAATAAATACGGTTAAGAAGAGCGACGAAGATAGGTTTAGATCTCAAAGGAAAACGCGAGCGAACGCTTGCCAATGGCATCCCGAGAATTGTACGTGGATCAATGAAAGCAAACATTCTGTTAACAATCGTCAAACAGGCAGTTAAATTACAGTTGAGGTCTCGTTCGAGCATAACGCGCGATTCAACGTATAACAGTATCAATTATTGTCGCGAAAGGTACCGAGGACGCGTCTCGCAAAGTTAACTAGATCCAAACAGAGAAGATGTACACGGTAGATTCCTTTGTAACCGGAAATGGAGAACGACGTCCCGGGACAACCGAGACCGGGGCGAATAATTAACAACGCGGTCGGGCTCTTTGCACAGGTATCGTAGAATGTTGACACGGCCGGGTTTTTCAACCGTCGCTCTAACTAAAGTGTATTTAATGGCCGCCTGTAATTAAGAATTTATACTTCTTGTCGAAATATTTTTTTTTGTATTTCAGAAAAGATAGCGCGCAAAGCAAGCATATTCACGATGTAAATGGATTTTAATATATCTTGATTTATCTTAGACTTAGCAAGCCAGTCGTTCTCTGAAATTAATTAAGGAATACGTAAATAAGAGGTGATATCTGGCTTGTGCATAATTTACTAAAACTGCAAATTTTTGTACTTCAAATTTATAGTATCTCAAATTTTAACTATATTTTCATATCTGTATCTTTCTCATTTAAAAGAAACTTTTTAAATTTATAGAATTTTTCTTCTCTGCGCAAGTTGCTTAGTTAATATTTGTTAATAAAACGTCTGCGTTCGGATGATAATTTCGGACGATAAAATTTCAAATATATGTAACTTTCATTGTTGATGTTTGATTATTCGTGCGCGGATGATGATTTGCATGGGAATTATCGTCGAATAATGTCAATTACCGCGCGTGCGCGCCGATTTTCAGGACTCTAGAGCAAAAATACGATCCCGTTCGAACCGCGATAGGATTTATTTGCATATCCAATGCATACGCAACGACTTTTCCATCGCATAACCATGAATTTATTTCGGATCGTTAACAGTTTTCGAAGGAGAGTGCGATGAATTCGGTTGCTTCTCGTTTAATACTTTGGTATAATCGCGGCGTCGAGGCACGCGGAGGAAAAGAGGGGTGTAATATTCAAATCACTTTGTCATTATGAGAATATCATTACCGTAATATCTGTTTGATATGAGAAAATCTATCGAAATCCGTAATCCAGCTGTGCACGAGATTGCCGGGCCATGAGATTCTGTGATTTTTGCCGAAAATAGATCTAAAAGCTGGATTTAAACGATGAAAATGTGATCTAGATACGATAAGTATTCGATTAAAAATTCTCAATTTATGTCGATATCACATGCTCGAAAATTATAAGACAATTCTTGCAGAGATTACTTTTTTAATAAAACTTTACTTTTTTATATTTTTGCGCGATCAAACTAGAATCTATATGTGCACCTTATTGCGCTCGTCTGAAAGCGGTAATATCGACAAGTAAAATCTCGCATAAAATAGTTTTTAAACATGCCTGGCCTTTGTTATAATTTATCTAAATTATAATCAGAACCACACCGCATCGGAACAGAAAACGAAATAATAAAATCAAGATAATGCGAAGGCCTTAAACAAATGATTATCTCGATCCAGAAGTAAGAACCGGCGATATTTCGCGAAACAATCAACGTCCGTGTCATAATTCACGGAAAAAACTGCGGATTCGTCCGCAATCTCGACCGCGAGAGGAAGATCGTACGTGGGTGTATCGTGGAGATCTCTCGGCGGAG